CTGAGTATTAAATATGTGTAGAACAAAGGTCAGTTTGCATAGTGCCAAAGAGAGAGGGATAGAGGAGTAGAATGTGTCACTCTGCTGAACAGGGAGTGGTACCACAGGAGAATCAGTAACCCAAGGGGAATTGGAAGGTATAATTTCTGGTGGGCAAATTAATCTCAGTGCAGACATGTGAGGGCCCAAAGTCTTAATGGAAGGACATGGTTGTATACAATATTGACTGCTAGGACAGTCACAAAAGGTACAGGGTTCATGTAGGGAAAATTAATAAGGTCAAGGGGATACAGGGAAGAAATGCAGGGGCTGGAGAGTGAATGGGAGAGGATGATGAGTAGTTAATATGGATACTGAACACCTCCAAGTGGGTAGGAATTAGTTGTATAAGTGGTTCCCCATGCTGGGGCATTGGGTAGCAGGCCCCACATTGTTGGTTTAACTCTTAAGTGGTATGTTGTTACAAGATATTGTCCAGCATGTCAAAGAAAGTAGGAAGTAGGGACTGTGACTGTGGAATCATTGCAAACAAAGTGAGTTGCTGGACAAAAACAAAATGATAGCTAGTGCACAATGAAGAGTGATTTGAATGTGATTTATAAGGACTGTAATTATGGCCAGGTTCATAGAGTTTTAGGCATTTGTGTAGGAATAGTTGAAGTGGATATGCCAATTCAGGATTTAGGTACCCAAGAGGAGAAAGTAATTGGTGTGGCACCAGTAGAAGTGTCAGCTAATCTACAGGGTGATAACTTTGACCAAAAGTGCAGTACATGAAGGTGGGAAGGAGTGGGTCAAAAACAAATCTGAATGACCTTCCAGGAGTTCCTCAATACATCAGAATAGGTAATAAGCAATGACAAATCTCTCCATGGTGTTATTCATTAGGGCTTAGTCTAGGCAGATGGGTCTGCTAGTGAGGTTTAGCTCCTAGTAAAATGCCCTTATCATCGAGTAAGAAAGGATATGAAATCAGGGACATAAATAAGTAGGATGGATGGGATCTTCACTAAAGCAGCCCACAGTAATTGTGGTAGCCTTAGCATCAGCTAGGTAGGAAAAAAGGCCTGAATAGACTGAAACTTGGGGGATAAGGTAGGAGATATGGTAAGCTTTCTTTGATATAAAAAAAAATCGGAGCAAGGGAAGGCTCTGAATTTTCAGAGAGCTCCATTCTATTATTGGTTCCCAATCTAGGCACCCAATTCAGCATGATTTGTGCAAGGATAAAAAAGGCATAGTAGAATGGGAAGGTGTCATTAAGTGAAAGGTGATGTTACATTTGAGTATTTATACCTAGACTCATAAGGGAGAAGTGCCCTGTTTGTGGCTAGAAAAGTGATGACGAAAGAGTAAGAAACAAAATGGTAAGTTCAAAAAGAAATCTAATGTAGAAAACTATATAATGAAAGCCAGAGTTTAACTTCTTGTTGTTTGCATGACAACTGACCAGAGTTATGTAGTTTTCCTAAGGACTTATTTCCTCATCTGTGAAATAGAAATAAAAGTACACAGCATATAAAAGTGTTTTGAAGAAAAAGAGAAAGAATCCATACATCTTAAACAGTACTTTTCCTGGAACTTACATTCTCAATGTATGTTAGCTGAACATAACATTATTATTTGTATTCCTCCCAACCAGCTAGAAGGAGAATGAAGATTAGTGCAGACTGGGTAAATATAATGCATTTTGTCTAATCTAGTACTGGTGCTATAATATGAACAGATCTGTATAGATCCTTTGCTTGGAAATGGATGGTCTGGGAGGTTCCTTGGAGTCCTGAAGTGCAACTGGTCAGCTCTGAGTATAAGTGGTTGACATCTTGGGAACTGTTCATGACCACTTAGGAAATCTCTGAGAAGACTGAGGGTTTCTCTACAGCTCTCCTCTTCTGAGCCCTCACTGGAATCCCCCTTAGCGCTCCAGTAATGACAAAGTAGTCCTTTTCTAGCACACGAAGTACTCTTATTGTAGTATGCACTTCCAAAGTCTTCCAGCCATTGCCCATTTCCTAGTTTCAAAGCCACTTCTACATATTTAGATATTTTCTACAGCAACATACATCACTTCTTGGTACTAATTTCTATTTTAGTCCATTTGGGTTGCTATGACAAAATACCTTAGACTGGAAAATCTATAAACAATAGAATTTTTTTTGCTCACACTTATGGAGGATGGGAAGTTCAAGATCAAGGTGCCAGCATATTTGGTGCCTGGTGAGGACTTGCTGTCTGCTACAAAGATGACACCTTCTAGCTATGTCCTCACATGGCAGAAGGGCAAAAGGAATGATCAAGTTCCCTCAGGCCTCTTTTGTAAGGACACTAATCTTAAACCATATTTAGAATCCTGCTGGTCAAGAAGTCTGGGAAATGCAATTCATAGAATTTCAGCTTCTAAAGAAAGAGGAAAACATAGAAGGAGATAAAAAAGCTTCCAAGGGCCAGACAATATTTGGAAAAGTCCCCTGGGTTTTAATCCCCTAACTTTTCTAATTCTTCTAAGTGCCTCATTCCCTACATCAAATATTTTCTGTTTGAAGTACCTACTGTGGTTTATCTTTTACTGATTGAATCTTCAGTGATGCCCACTCTCCCAGAGATTCTGATTGAATCTTTCTTATCCAAGTGGACTATGATTCATATTGTGAAAAACAATGCTTTTGAGGGGTTATTTACTTGATTTCAAAAGAAATAAAATCACATTCCATTTTTATGCTTACCTTGTTCTATTATCTATTTCAGCAGACTATTTCTTGTGCCTGGCTTATCCAGTAATTTCTTTGACAAGTATAAGTTGCACTAACCTACAGAAGAGCAGGATAGCATACCAGAGAAATTGCCCACTGACTCAGGTTATCCTGGGTAAATTACTGAACTACAGAAACCACATAAAGATATGTTATTAAGAGTTCAGCATTCCAAGCCTCTGAATTTGGTATTCAGCTCCACCAATTGTTGCTAGTCAAGAGTCCACATCCACTATTTCCAAATCTTAAGAGCCCTTTTTATTGTTGTATGAAATCCCCCTTTCAAATGTTGATTAGGAAGTAAACAAACAATTTTGCAAGTAAAACAAAATATATCTGTCGGCCTAGGGACTTATGGACCCAGGCCTAGGGACCACCGCTTTTTAACTCCCATTCCAGGACTACTAGGCTGGAGCCTGACAAGTTGAAAATAAGACAAACTATCTTTTGTCCTGAAATGGCTCTAGGCTATTAATAAGAGAAATATAAAGTAAAATTCAATACAATGAACAATATGCAACATCAGTACTTTTTCTTGGTTGTTAAAAAAAGAAAAAAATATATATATGTATATATATATAATATATATATATGTAAATACACCAGATACAGACATGTCATAGAAAGTTGAATTAATATTAAGCAGGGAAAAACAATTTACCTGAAGGAGGTGATGTATTATCTGGGTTTCAAGGGGCATAAAGTAGTTCATTAGGGCAGGTGCCTAATGTGGGGCAAAGGACATTTAAGGAAGAAAGAAGAATATGTACAATAACATTACACTGTGAAATAACATGGTCTTCAAGGGAATCTGTAAGAAGATTTAGTAGTGTTGAATCATAAAGTAAAAACAGAGCAAACATGTAGGGGCTGTGGAAATGGATGAGATCAAAGAGGTGAGGGGGGAGACAAATAGTGCAAAACTGTGTTCTTTGACTTTATCCAATAAGCAATAAAGAGCCAGTGATGAATGGCAGCAATATGGAAATAGATTGAAGGGACTGAGACCAGAGGAAGAGGGACCAGTGAGGTAGATGTGACAGTTCTGTCAAGACATGGTGAGAATTTGTAATACAGTAATGGAAGTGAGACTGGAAAAGAGAGCATACCCAAGAGAAACTTTTGCACTAATGCAGCAGGAGATGTGCCCACCAACAAGAAAATGGATGAGATATTGTACACATTGATAGTGAATAACTACAGCTACAGGTGACAACATGGATGAAACTTAGAAATAAAATATTGAGTGAAAGAAATAAGCCCCAGAATGCTACCCAGAAAAAGGTTTTTTGTGTGTGAATTTTTGAGAAATTTGAAAACAATCAAAACTGTATTTATGTGATAAGAATATAAGAGCAAAAAGAGCAAACAAACAAATAAATATAGATCAGGATATTGCTATTGTTCAGAAGGGAGGTGGGGAAAAAGAAGGTGAGGAAATTTAAATTATTAGTAACATTCTAGTTCTTCAATTGGGTGCTGGATTCATGAGATCTTATTGTAATTTGCATGGAAAGAGTGATGATAAACAGCCATTTAAGGGGTGATGAGGACCAACTAGTTATGACTAAAGATTCTGTTTATTTCTATTCTCTGTACTAAGAGCTATTAGAAAGTCCAGAGAAGGCCAGGTGCTGTGGCTCATGCTTTTAATTCTAGCACTCTAGGAGGCCGAGGCAGGTGTATCACTTGAGCTCGGGAGTTCTTGACCAGCCTGAGCCAGAATGTGACCTGGGGTGTTGTGGCCAGCAACTGTAGTCCCAATCACTTGGGAGGCTGAAACAAGAGGATCACTTGAGCCCAAAGTTTGAGGTTGCTGTGAATGATGATGTCACCAGCACTCTATGGAGGGTGACAAAGTGAGACTCTGTCTCAAAAAGGAAAAAAAAAAAAGGAAGTCAGGAGAAGATGTATTTTAGAGATATTTTAGAGGTGTAATCAATAGGTTGCCAGACATTCTTTTCCCCATTAAATTGGTTTTGGATTAGCTCCTCCAAAGGTAGACGCCTCACTGTGTGAAGCCCACGTGCTTCCACATCCCGCGCTTTTTGCCCTTTGCCCTTGGCCATCTTCTCTTCCCCTCCAAAGGGAGGCTGGGTGACGACAAACAGTTGGTGGAGGGGGAGGGCCCCCGCGTTCCTATTGGTGGACAGCGAGAATGAGGCTGGATCTGAAACGAGGAAAGGAGAGCGAAGGGGGCGGGGCTATTCGGAAGGTGGGGCTAAAGGAGCTTAACGGGAGCGAGGCGCAAGTGCAATTGTCCGCGCCTCGCTGCGATGGCGGCGGCGCCGAGCACAGTCACCCCGCTGGCTGCGGAGTCTTCCCCTCAGGAAGCTACCGTCTCTGCCGCCGCCACGTACACCCCTGCCTTCCCGCCTGCCGGTGGCTGTGGCGATGGCGGCGGCGGCTTTGGCGGCTCCACTATGGCGGCGGCGGGGAGGGGGGGCAGTAGTTTTAAAGTAGACACCCGCCCTTGCCTCAGAGAAGGTGAGTTCCCTTCCCGGGGTGCGGGGGCGGCCCCATCTCCTTCACTGCCTCTATTCAGCCGGTCCGAGGTCGGGCTGGGCGCGGTTCGCCACCGCCCCACCCCCCACCTGCTGTGGCGCAGTAAAGGCCAAGCTTGCCCCGCCCCGCCCCGCAGTACTAGCTCAGAGTTTGCAAGACGGACTGACCTGAGAGGGGCTTCCCTACCTCTCCTCTCAGCAAAGGATGGGGGTCCCCAGGCAAAGGAACTGCAGGTACTCATAAGGCAGGAGTCTGAAGGGAAAGAAAAAATACCACAAAATTGCTCTCCCAGCCAAGATGCTTCAGTGTGTTGTAGGAAGCTGAGGTGTAATGTGGGAAGGAAGAGGAGGTAAGGTAGAAGTGATGTGACTTAGTCCTGGAGAGGGAGGGGGACTGATAGCAGAGAGGGGTAGAAATAAAGGAGCAAAGGCCCCTTTGGTGAAATTCAGCGTCCTGCAGTGTAGAAACTCTCAGAGTATGGAGAGATGGGGCTAGAAATTTGGGGAGGTTAGAGTGTATAACTTGAGCTTTAAAGTAGGATCTATTGGATTTAGGAGGAGGGGTTCTACTGGCGAAAGAAGAGAGGAAGATAATGGGGCAGCAGATCAGATTTCAGGAATCACTTTGGAGAGTTTTCTTTGGCTATTTGAGGTTGCGACCTACTAAAGCAAGGTTTATGGGCCCATCTTTAAGGTGGTTTGGCTTTTAGTAAGTACTGTTGTACCTACCAACACATATTACTCCTAACATTAAAAGATATTTCTTGATTATGTCAATATAAGTGATATTTAGTTAACACGAAGTACTATATACTTGTAAACCGCCTACTAATAGCAAACTGTAAAATGTGCCATTGAAATGTATTTTAAAGCAATTTTGGAAATGTTCTTAGATGGTGGAGACAGGTTCCACTGCAGAAGATCTCAGTAAAGCATTTTGTCATAGTAAATTTCGTAATTAATTTCCAGTATTTGCTATGTTACCTTATGTTTCTAACTTGCCTCCAAAGAGAAAGATGGTAGACTCCAAAATAGAGTAAAATGATTTAAGTTCCTTTTTCTCAGTAGGACACTCCACTAAAATTACCTCAAAAAATAATTTCTTCTTCACATTCTTAACCTTTCACACCTTTCACTTTGGAGGAATGGCAAAGCAGAAAAAAATTCCTTACAATATTTGCTGTAGGCACATTATATAAATGCCACTTACTAAATATGCAAGTTAGACATACACTGTTAATATGATGATGTTTCATTTATCAACTCTCTTACTAAAGGCAAACTTTAAAAGACTCTAGTGCAGTGGTTCTCAACCTTTCTAATACCACGACCCTTTTTGAAAAGTTCCAATAGATTGAGGAACCGCTGCTCTAGTGTCTTCTGTCAGCCTAGATTTGTATCATTGTTCTGGCACGAAAACATAAATTCTTCTGGATTTTTAGTTTTGATATAAAGATTTCTGTCCATAACCAGCCAGTAGGCAAGAGCAGTTTTATAGACATTAAAATCACAATTCAATTTAGCTTTCATGGCCTAGTCACAGTAAGGTTTAGAAGTAGTATCTCATGGAAAAAATGGCTTTTTGCCTGGCTCTATAATTGTTTTGGTTGCAGTATCTTTGCATATATGCAGATATCAAAGGCTTTAAGAGATTTAAGTTCAAAAGTAGCAGGGATAAGATTTAAGTTCAAAAGCAGCAAGAATAGCTATTATATTGATCAGCAGTAAAATGAGAACCCTGGTGTAGGAGTCTGTTATAATAATGAACATAATTCTGTTCTGTTGCTAATTAACACACGAGACATTGTCACCCTGAACAGGTCACAGGCTTCCTGGATTTAGGTTTTGATACTTCTGAAATAGGGGAGTTGCACTAGCGAAACTATGAGGTTGATTTTAGATCTGTAAGAACCAAAGAACCATGATTTTCCAGTTCTGGTTGATACTCTTTCAGTGGCATCCATGGCTGTGCACTAGAAGAGTAATTCATAAATCATAAAAACCTTGACTGATATTTATCAACTGACACCCAGTGAGTAATGAAAGATGTGTGGACTTAGTGTTGAGACAAATTTACTAGGATTTGAAAAACAAATATAATTGTTACCTAAAAATTATTTAATTTTAGCTAAATATCCTTCATTAATCATTCATCCAAACTAAAATTCTCTTACCTTTTCACTGAACACAGGGTAATTTTTTGATGTATCACACTGTCCAAAACACTGTTAGTCCTCAAAATAATTCTGTTTAGATATTTATAAAGGCCAGGAACGATTCCCAGTTATGATAGTGGATAAAGGAGAAGAGAAAAATATTGCTTGGTGGTGTGCCATTATCTTTTGATTACTTGTTTTTTCTAAGTCTTAGTTAGGAGATTGCTGTAGAAGATGTCAAAGAATTGTCAAGATTCAATTATCACAAATCCACTCCTGATAGGACCACTAAAAGTTGTTTGAAAAAGCATTCATTGATCCATTTTCAAAGGTAGCGAACACTCTTGAGCATCTCATGTGTCTTGGTGTTGGTAACAAGCAAATGTCAGTGGAAATTAGAAATTGCCAAGCAGGAAATATTAGAAGCTTTCAAAGATTACAAATGGGATATTGAGCAATAAAAACAAAACAAACAAGATAAATGCCAAGTGGAGGGAAGAAATGCCACATGAAAAGACACATACACACTCAGAATTCTAAGGGGAGTCACGAGATTTTGATACTTCATATTTCATTAAGTGAAGTTTTTCAAAAATGTTTAAAGGCTCAAAAGTGAATTTTCATCCAGTATTGATGTTCTGGTATACTCATAGTAAAAACCAAAACAAAAGTAAACAAAAATTCTTGTTTATTTGCCTCTTCCCATTAAGAAAAAAAAATACCAAATAGATTCTCTTATAGATTGGCGTACCTTCAGATTTTTAATTTAGTTATTAATCCATTTAAATTGCAATTACCTAACAAAGCTGAGAGGTTTGGGATGGAAAATGAGAGGTTACTTCAAAACATGAACAAAAGGAAGTGGGTCCAGATTCTGTGAGGGCAACGTGGCCTTTATGTACTCAGATGCAAGCCGGCTAAGTTCTAAAAAGAAGGCAGAACCTGGGTTAAGGCGGGGTGGGAATATAAGAGTTGGGGTAGGGGTAGCAATTGGCACACTCATTCCTTCCTAGGCAGGACTTTCACCCATTCGTTATTTCCTGGGTAGGACATAGGAGAGTTTTATTTGGGCAGGTCCCTACATTCATTCAGTAAAGTGTCAGTTCAAATGACTGTAAGTCCACCATAAGAAAATTAAAATTAACCTTTCATTTATTCAGAAATAATTTATTGAACACCTGTATATGTGTGTGCCAGCACTATGCTTAGTGTTGAGAATATACATTCAAATTGGGTACAGCTATACTAAAGAGCTCAGTAGAAATGCATGATAGAAAAATTATAAAATAAATAGGTGGGGAAAATGCAGTTTTGCATATAACCAGTCAGACTCTTGAACTATCAGGACCATTCTTTTGCTTATTGTAAATCTGTGCCATGTAGGCACACTAAAGTATGTTATATTGTAAATCTAATGTTGGTATCTGGGAAGAATTATTAGTAAGCTGTTAGAATTAAGATTTTTCCTCTGTCTTTGGTAGACTAAGAATATTTGGAGAAAGATTAGTGACTGTATTTTAGTTTGGGACCCTTTTTCTTTATTAGCTATCAAGTGTGTTAAAATACTAAACTTGTTGCAAAGAGGAACTTAAGCATTCCCTTTGCTATATTCATTACATACCTGTTAGGGTAAGAACTTTGATATTTTTCCATATGAAACCAGTTTTGCACATCCATTCTCATTTGCTAACTTATTGAGATTAATGGCGTGTATTTGTTGGCTTTCTGATGCAAAATACTTATCAAGGGATCAAATAAATTAATAGATTCCCTTAATGACTTTACAAGCCTGACTCCAGTGCTCACTGGCCACTAAGTGCTTCTCATTATGAAGGTAAAGGACTTAGTTTAAATAAAGACAGTGTAAATATTTACCATATAACTACTATTCCAAATGATGTTGTTAATTCTGTTGTAATTTGTAATTGTTAGCGTGCCTTAGGAGATCATTCATTACTTCTTTGTTTGTGATAATCTGTGTAAATAGTTAAAACTTGCCAAACTTTTAAATCAGGTACTAATCTTGTAACCTGGAAAACTAAGGATACTAGATGGCCTTATAGTTCTGAGTATTCATCATGCAGATGTGTACACATTTGCATTTCTATCACAACTATTGTTCAAGAACATGTAAATGAGTGTTAACTTTAGAGGAAAAAGAGTTAAAATGCTTTTCCCAGTCCCCTGTAACTTACCACTGTGTTTTACTTATTCTTTCTTAAGATTATGATGGTATTAAAAGATTACAAAGGTTAAGTCAGTTTTTTCTTTAATACCCTGTGTAATCAGGAACGTTTGGAGGAGGTTTTCTCTAAAATTGTAATCATGGCGAATACAGTAGTGCACTCTTTTCACCATTAAAATGATTATTTCTCAGATTTTATAATGCCTGACTTTAAATCTGTGACTAAGAATATTTATGTTTACATTATAGCAGTCATTCCTTCATAGGTTGGCTCCATTTTTGTCACTTTATTAAAATAGGATATACAGAGCCATCACGCCTGTAATCCTAGCACTTGGGAGGCTGAGGCAGGAGGATTGCCTGAGGTCACAGGTTTAAGACCCTCCTGAGCCAGCTCAAGACTCCACCTTAAAAATAGTCAAGCGTTGTGGTGGGTACCTGTAGTCCCAGCTACTTGGGAGGCTGAGGCAAGAGGATCGCTTGAGCCCAAGAGTTTGAGGTTGCTGTGAGCTATGATGCTACAGCACTATACCAAGGGCAACAGTGTGAAACTCTGTCTCAAGAAAAAAAAAAAGGATATACAAAGAGTTCTTTAAAATGCTAGATTTTTTGCATCAAGCTCAGCTAGACTGTGAAATTCCT